ACCTTCGGGCAACCCGTCAACCCGTCAACCCGCTCTGGGCAATGCGAGGCCTGGCAGGAGACCAGGATCTACTAATTGCCCCTCCCTCCTAACTGTAACTCAATCCCAGCTCCTGCCTTGCAGGACACACCCCAGTGCTCTGTACAGCATGAACTGGGTATTCAGAATTAGTCAGTCAATAAATATTGACCAAGCCATCTGGGAGCCAGCCCCCTTCCCATGGCCTGGTGGGTACCAGTGGGCAGAGAAGGTGAGGGAATGAGGCCTGAGAAGGGATGAGAAAATACTGATTTCTATTCCTGGGAGCTCAGATGGGCAACTGCCCCCCCACCCCGCCCCGGGTGGCGGGGAGAGGGGTCCTTTTGAATCCAGGGGTTCAGACCACTGTGGTGAATCTGAGATATCCAGGTCACTTTAGGAGGTGAAGGAAATGGCCCGGGATGCCTCCTGGCATCTCCCACTCCCCCACCTCCCATCTCGGGCTGGCTGCCCAGCAGAGCTCTCCCCGGGGAGCCTTGATACCCATCGTGGGAGAGGCCGGTGGAGTCTGCAGCAGAGAAATCTCTTCCATGCCCTGGCTGCCCCTCTGTGACTTCTGATGGTGGGATATGAGATGCTGGAAACAGATCCCTCCAGAAACGACCAGGACACAGCCTCCCTCTACCTTCTGCTGGTAGCAGCCTTAGTCCCAGACAGGGTCCAGCCAGCACAAGCCCCTCCCCGCCCCCCAGACACGACTAAAGCCTGTTGACTTGTCCGAAAGACCCCATTCTGGAGTGAACTCTTTACCTACACAGCTCCATGTCACCAGAGTGGACAATCCAGGAACTCCAGGTCACTCTGTGCCCAGTGGCTAGTGTGTACAAGTTTTGTTTTGCTTCATTGGCTTCACAGGGTCACTCTGTGTAGCCCAAGCTGTCCTGGGACTCACAATTCTCCTGCCTCAGCCTCCTGAGTATTGGGATTACAGACGTGTGCCACCATGCTGGGCATATTTGATCTGTGCGTGAAGGGGCACCTGTGTCACCAGGTACTTGCTGAGTTCTTTGTCTGAGTCACACTAGTCATAGCACGCCCGTGTCTTCTCGGGTTGGGTCCACCTGTGCATTGGTTGCCTGCCCCTACTTCTTCTGTGTCCTGGGTTCTCACTCCTTCCTATTTCCTCCTCACCAGTCTGCTGGTCTCTGTTCCCACACTTCCATGTTGCCAGTGGCAGCTGGTTCTGTCTGTCACCGCCTTCCCCTTCCTCTCTGTCTCCATGTGTCTTTCTGGAGTCTCTAAAAGTTCACAGGCACAGCTCAAGCCACAGCTCCTCTCAATTTGCTACTTTTCTCCCAAGTTCCAGGCCCAACGCTGAAAGCCCAGGGAGGGACCCCTAGTGTCAACCCTGCCCCCATTCTCATCCCTGGTCCCCAGACCTAGACTCAGTAGTCACATGGCTTCCTGGCCACTGCCCTGCTCTGGGAGCCAGCTTTGACCAGTCGGTGACACGAATCACACTCTTGTGTGTCACGGCCTCCCAGGCCCTGCATGTTTCCACTCACACAGCAGCCAGTGGGACTTTGATTTGTTCTTTATTATGGTGTGCATGTATGTGTGTGTGTGTGTGTGTGTGTGTGTGTGTGTGCATGAGTGCATGTGTGTGCATGTGTGTGTGTGTGCATGTGTGTGTGCATGTGTGCATGTATGTGCGTGTGTGCATGTGTGTGTTCATGTGTGCGTGTGTGCATGTATGTGTGTGTGTGCATGTGTGTGTGCATGAGTGCATGTGTGTGCATGTGTGTGTGTGTGTGCGTGTGTGTGTGTGTGCATGAGTGCATGTGTGTGCATGAGTGCATGTGTGTGCATGTATGTGCGTGTGTGCATGTGTGTGCATGTGTGTGTGTGTGACATGCATGTGTAACGTGTGGAGGCAGTCTCTTCCTTTTACTGTGTAGGCTCCAATGGATCAAACACAAGCTATTAGGCTCCACCATAAGCATCTCTACCCATTCACTCAGCTGTCTTGCCGTCCCTTTTTGTTTCATTTTTTTTCTAAACTGGGGTTCCATTTACCCCCAGGCTGGCCTTGAACTCACTATGTAGCTGAGGATGACCCTGAACTACTTCCTGACCCTCCTCCTTCCATCACCCAAATGCTATGATCACAGGCTTCACCACTATACCTGGCTTGTTCCCTTCCTTCCTCCCTCTCACCCCCTTTCCTTCCTTCCTTCCTCCCTTCCTGTCTTCCTCCCTTCCTGTCTTCCTCCCTCCCTCCCTGCCCTCCCTCCTTCCTTCTTTTTTTCTGAGACAGGTTCTCCTTCGATAGCCTAGTTTGGTCTCACACTTGTGCTGTGGGATAATCTTGTACGCTGTGAAGATGTCACCTGCTGACTGATTTTAAAGAAGAGCTGAATGCCCAATAGCTATGCGGGAGAGGATAGGCGGGACTTCTGGGAAGAGATAAGAACTCTGGGAAGGAGAGAGATGAATTTTGCCAGTCAGATGAGGAAGGGTTTGGATGGACAGTACAGAGGAGAGGTAATGAGTTGTGTCAGAACTTAGGTTAATATAAATGGGTTAATTTAAGTTATAAGAGCTGGTTGGGAGCAAGTCTAAGCTAAGGCCAAGCTTTCACAATTAATAAGAAGTCCCGTGTCATTATTTGAGAGTTGGCCGTCCAAAGAAGTACCTGCTGCATACTTGTGGCAAGCCTGCTTCAGCCTCAGAATGCTCTGGTTACAGGAGTGCCAGTATGACTGCTTTCAAGCCCCCCTCCCATAGTTTTAAAGGTTATGGTAAAATATAACCATGCCTTGATGTCTGTAAGGTTAAAGACGCTCCCATGGATATCAGAACCAAAGGCTGCTTTAGCCTCACACAAGATGATGAGCTCATATTTGCCTGCAACCCTCACGCCCCTCCCTATTCTTTCAATCTTATCTCGGTCACTGTTAATACTAAAACGGTGTCACACGGTACTCAATTGTCACATCCAGGGGACGGTCAAGAAAAGCAGTCTAAATATGTTTAGTGATCATAGCCTTCTCTCAGGTCTTTTTATTCAAGCTGATGAAGTCCAGAGGTGTGAGACCTGTAGATACACAAACATAACTGAGTACTTCAAGTCTGTCATTCTATTGGACTCGGGAGGAGTTAGGTGGATGAGTAGGGGCCGAATATTATCGAAATACATTATATATGTGAATGAAATCTTAAACAACATTTTGCATTACATTTTTTATTATTATTTTTAAATTTTTAAAGCATCCTAGGTCATAGAGGCACTTACCCATAATCACAGCACTGGGAGGTGGAGGCAGGAGGATTGCAAGTCCCAGGCCAGTGTGGGCCACCCAGGATCCCATCTCATACAACAAAACAAAAATATTTACCACTCTACCGATTTGTTATTGTTTATTTTTGAAACAGAGTCTCACTATGTCAACCAGGCTGGCCTTGAACTCACAGAGATCCGCCAGCCTCTGCCTCTTGAGTCCTGAGATTTTTTTTTAGTGTATATTTCTGAGGCATGGGGACCCCTGGCCGTTACCACCATCCACACATATCTCTGCCTCCCCCTTTATGTGGCGGAGGAGATTGCCCGGTGGTACAGCACAAACCTGGGGAAGTGAGTCTGGATTCCCAGCATCCATGGAAAGGCCGAGCACACCTGTGGAGACATGACTGAGGAGGCCGTCTGGGCATCAGCCGCTGGGCTCCACAAGGGCAACTGTGCCTGTGCACATGCCACTGTCCCCTTCCCCCAAACACACACACACACACGCACGCACGCACGCACGCACGCACGCACGCACACACACACACATACGCACATACACACGCGCGCGCGCACACACACACGCACACGCACACACACGCGCACACACACGCACACACACACGCGCACACGCACACGCGCGCGCGCACACACACGCACACGCACACACGCACACACACGCACACGCACACACACACACACACGCGCGCGCACACACGTGCACCTGGAACTAACACTCTATAAAACTCTTTAAACAACTCTCCCATGGCCTCCTCCCCCATCTTACCTTCTGTCCCTAAGATCTTGACCAGTACAGGGAGGCATCTCCTCTCCACCTCTTCCCGTGTCCCCAAGCGGCTGATGAGTGAGGCCCCGTTACCTGGGCCTCCCTGCAGCTGCGTGTCTGGCCACTCCCTCCATTGTTCACGATTTTTAGCTGTGCCTCACTCTTGGGGCTTTCTGTAGCTTGAAGGGACCCAGCACATTCCGCCCTCCATGTCCTCATACCACTCCTGTGCCTGATGTCCCTTCCCCAGGGTCCGCCTGCCCAGGCCCTTCTCTGCCCCTCTTCTGAATCTAGATCTTAGCTCAAACACCGCGGTCCACAGGGAGGCAGCTCCTGCCCTAGCCCTTCCTTGCTTCCTGCTTCTTGCCCTCCACTGGAACCCAGCTGGTTGGGCCCTTCTCCAGGTGCAATGTGGGCCCCTTGAGGTCAAGGCCCTGTCAGTGCTGTCTTCTAAGGTGGTGGCTGATGCACCGAAGTTACTCAGATCGTGCATTGCTGTGGCTTGTGTCGGGTCCCATGGGGTATTGTGTGTGTGTGTGTGTGTGTGTGTGTGTGTGTGTGTGTGTCTGTAAGCAAGTGTGGCTCTATGGAAGAATCTGGGCATGGAATTTTCTTCACAGTTGTTCGCTGCCCTTACTCTGGCGCCCCCTGGTGACTGAGCTTAGGTACCTCAGGATAATCCAGTCCCAGCAGCTTAATGGTAGACACAAGGCTCCTCCAAAAGCACTTCTCAAAATTTTCTGTGTTCCTAGGACCCAGATGACAGTCACTGCCTGGGCAAAACCACCCAACCCCAGACATGCCCATGCCCATGCCCCACCCCGTGACCTGTGGTTACAGAGCCTGGAGACATGACAGGCCGACTAAGACTTGACTCATGGTGTGTGGTTTGGGTCATCTCCTTGTGGCCATTACACCTATGGCAGAGAGACTGAGACACGGGGTAGGTTCAGCTACTTCAATATTGCGGGACAGGGTACCTACTCTCTCCCTTTCTCCTTCCCTAGAGTGAGAAAGGGGTTCTGATCCACTCTCTTGGTTTGGCTATCACCCACCCCTGCCCTGTGGACATACCCATCCTAATCCTTAGCTGTTAGTTTGGGGTCTGACTGGGCTGGGCTTGCCTGGCTGCACTATCTGGTAAGTTCCTCATCCCACTCACTGACTTCTGGCCCAGGGAGCCCCATAACCCCAACCTGTATGTTTCCAGGGATTTGGGGTTTCTATGTTCTTGCCAGCTTATCTCCCAGGGCCCTACCTTCCCCATGTCAATATTGACCTAGGTGAGGGAGTATGGCAAGGGCAGGCTCCACCCCTCAGGTGCTCTCTGCCTAGTCTGGTGTGGGGGCTGGTGTGGAATCTCCCTGTATGTCCCTCCCTGCAGGGGAGGATGGAGGCGTGGGGGAGTCACCTGACTGGTTCTGCTGACAACTTGGAGTGCTTGGAGGCACCCTGATTCTTGTCCCTTCTACTCTGATCCCTGGACCTTCTGTGGCCTCAAATCTAGCTGCAGGACAAGGAAATAGAAGTGACTAAGTCCCCAAGGCAGCTGCTATCTGGGAGTCATGTCCCGTGGGTGTCAGGGACTCTAAGGTACCCAGGACAGGGGAATCATGGGCCCTGAAAGTGCAAGCTGCCTCATCACTACTCTGCTCATAGTGGTGAGGGGAGTGTGTCCCTTAGGACACAGCTAAGACAGCTTGGAGCAGAACACAGTCCCACCCTTGATGCAGGAGAGTGGACGCATGGGCTCTGCTCCTGGTAGGTGACATGGGTTCCCATTCACTTCACCCAGCCAAAGGTTTACAAAAAAAAAATCACCGATTTTTATTTTATCTGTATGTGTGAATGCATTTATCTGTCTATATCTATCTGTGCATCATGTATGTGCCTGGTACCCACAGAGACCAGAAGAGGGCAGTGGATCCCCTGGAACTAGAGTTGCAGGCTGTGAACCACCTGATAAGGGGGCTGGGAACCGGTCCTTCCTCCGCAAGAGCAACAGTGCTCTTAACCGCTGAGCCAACGTTCCTACCTCTGCTCTCTCCTTCCCATTCTTGTCATAACTAGAAAAGACCAGGCAGGGCACATTTCAGGGAGCCCAAGTCCCGGTTAAGTGTCTTCCTGATGACCGTCTGTCTCCTTTCCACCTGCCTAGGCACTCATTAGGCTGCCTCAGCCAGGGGCTGCCATGAGCTTGTGTGTGTGTGGTGTAAGACAGCAGAAGAAGTGAGAGCAGAGACGACTAGGGAGCAAAGACAGGACAGGGGCAGGCTAGGAGTCAGAACCAGGGTTAAGTAAGTGACTGCTCTCTGCTGGGCAGTTCTGCTGTGAAGAGCAGGCACCCAGGACCGCTCCATGCCCCATGAATTCCTGCTGGTAGGGCTGGGGTTCCCCTGACACCCACAGGATGAGATTTATGGGGAAAGAGGGCCAGAGGGTCCAGTAGTTGTCTCTTTTCAAATTATGTGCAATTTGGGTGGGATGGTTTTCTAGCTTACCCCAGGCAGGGGACAAGAACTCTGGCTCTGAGTCCTGCTCCCATCTACCCTGCTCTGCAGAAGTTGGAACAAGCTCAAGGCCCAGTCAGCAGGAGGGTGTGGTATATAGAGGAAGGAAACAACAGCAGCAACAACAACAACAACAACAATATTGATAAGAATAAAACCACCACAACAGGCTGTACATCTGGAGAAGCAGGCCAACCACAAAACAGTGCAGCTTCATGAGTTTATTTTTGGCAAGAGGGAAGTCACTGATCGACAATATTGCCCCCAGAAACGTGCACATCCCACATGTAGTATTTCCCAAGCAGCGCGGGATTATCACATTCAAACACCCAGCAGAAAAACAAGACTTCCCCAACACCAATATCACCACTGCTGGGTACCCGTCCTCAGGGTAGCTCCAGGGATAGGACATGGTCGGATTGAGAGTAAGACAGGAGCAGAGGCAGCCAGCAAGTTTGCACAGGGAACTGTGCTCGGGCACAGGAGGCCATCCGCAGGAAACTGTGTGCACAGTACGCCGTCACCTGCTCTTCTCAACCCCTGGCATGCCAGCTGTCCAGCACAGCACCATTAGAAGCAGAGGCACAAACGTCACGAGTGTTTGACCAACAGGGCTGTGTGTTTCTAGATTTTATTAGAAAGCCGATTTTATTTTTATTTTTTTAGAAAAGCAGGGCTATAAAAAGCCACCAGGCTATACACACTTACAGGTTTCATTTCGTACCCAGCTTCACATGCTGTAACCACGACGCGCTAGTGTCATGTGGACATCCTCATGTCCCCCAATCTCATCCACACTGCACCGTCTCAAAGGGATCCCTGTCAACTGCCATTGGTGACAGGCGGTGTTATTAGGACACAAACACATTGTCTACAAACAGCTAGTGCAGGAAGCCACAGACCAACATGAAGGGTTCCAGAGCAAATGGAAGACGGAGCACTAACATCACCAGGGTCGGGGTGCCCAGGAAGTCGCACTCGAGGTCATGCAAACAGTGTAGGCTGGAGCCCACGGTTCCAAGCCGTCCTGTTGCAGACCTTCACGTCAAAAGCACTTGTCTAGGACGGTGGTCCTGACGTGGAGCCCAGGGGACCACAGGACGCAGGAGGTCAGATGTTTCTTTTGGCTAAGGAGATGGAGTGTTTTGGTAAGGTGGGAAGAAATATGGCACACAGAAGTGGCTGCTAAGTTTTCAAGCCCACACTTTAACAAACTAAAATAAAAGCAATACCCGTATTCACCTTAAGAAAATAAACCTCACACACTCGTCTCCTTTCTTGGCCTTGTTAGAATTCTATTGCTTCATTTACAAGTAACTGATTAAAAAATATAGATTTTTTTTTGCAATTATGTACATAAAGCAGACTTTTTTTTTTTTTTAAAGAAAGAAAAATTGGCATTTTGGAGTTTGGTCAAATAAGGTGTGGATTTCAGAACCCTCAGAGGTCCTGCTGCCCACCCGAGACATTCCAAGTTTGTGGTGGCAAGAACAGGCTCCCCACCTGGAAGCTGTGCTCCGAGAGCACAAACACATGCAGCTCCAGAACTCTGAGGTCAAGGTCAGCCTCGAACACATCTGAAGCGAAGCACTATTTCTAGGCTCCCTTCCTCTGAAATATTCTGGAATTTCAGTCCATTCTGTCCCCCTTTCCAAATAAGGCCCGAGACACTGGCAGAGCAAGAGGCACAGGCGATGATCTGAGGTTCTCATCCAGGCCTTGTTCTGTGTGGGAATCAACACACAGCAGACACTGCAACACCCAAGACACTTAAGGCAGCGGGATTGGCTAATGACTGGTTTCCATGAGGGTTTATGGCGTATGCGGATCTGCCATGTGACTGTTGCTATCTGTGGCCATGCTTAGCAAAGGGGCAGTTTCTACTGTGATTGGCACAGGGATTACTGGGTTTGGAACACTCAGAAAGTCAGGAGATCTGATGATCCCTGCCTACGTCTGTTCTGAATGCACAGTGGTTTCCCAGACCAAAGCACTGTGGGAAGATAGGCCAGGTAGTAGCTGGCTTCATTTATTTTGTGAAAGAAAAAAATTTTTTTTTCTTTTTTAAGTTTGACCCCTGATTTTTGAGTCTTGTTAGTGCCAACAACTCCCAGCAGAAATCCGGCTGAGGCCCAACCCACAGAGGACTAAGGCAATGGTGCTGACACAAAAGGACTCTCTTCATTCTTAGGACGAAACACAGCACTGCTAAACACCAAACTGGGAACCCCAGGAAAGAGGCCCCCAGCCGGGCTCCAGGGAGGAGCCCTTCTCCCCGGTTTGGAGCAGTGAGTCTCCCATCTAGACAGGCTTCTCTAACCCTTGGCTGGAAGAGGCTGTGCTTCCAAAGAGGCTGAGATGAACTCGGGCCACACCAGAGTGGTGTTGGGCTGGTTGAGGCCACGGGTTCTCAAGCGAGACTGGAGAGCTCTGCCACAGGCTCTGGTGTTGACTGCGGTGAGAAGGGAATGCCACACCTGAGCGGTGCTCTGGCCCTTTGTTTATTTTTCGTTTTTAAAAAACCTTTGTGCCCTTCAGCATTCTTGGTGGCCAGGGCCAAGGAAGGGAGACAGTTGGTGCCGGGCTCGATGGGGCGGGACACCTGTTTCTGACCCTGTCCAAGTCTGCAGTTTAGCGGTGAGCGTATTCTGAACATAGGCACGGTGGCAAAAAACAGTGTAGCAGCCGCTGGTCAGTTCCATTTGGTGGCATTGCAGTAGCAGCAAAGTCCTCAACAGCTCCACTTGTACCCAGCTTCCCAAAGGACAGACTGGACAATCCAAGGGTTTTAGGGTTTTCTGTAACTATTCTCCTCAAACCGTGGCAACAGAAAAACAGTGGACAGGCGTGACAGTTGTAGGAAAGCAGAGTGACGTAACGTCACCGTTCATGTCACCGTTCGAGGGGAAACGCAATCTTAGGACAAACTTTATCAACATCAGAAATCATAATAAAGGAATTGGATGTTTCATAAAGCATCAGGCCATTGGCAGGTACATTCTGGGTTGGCCAGAAACGAGTGGGGACAGTGACAATCAGGAGAAAACCCCAGTCAGAGGGAGTGGGACCCTGCGCATGCCACAGGCTGACACACAGTTGCACCTGTTGGGAGGCAGGCTCCTGTGGCCCGCTTCCGCCCTGTCCATACCCTCACCCCACAACACACAGGCTACCAGGTTCTAGAAATTGTCCTATTTGTCGTCTTAGGGTATCTAAGACAGTAAAAGACTAAAAGATGTCTGGAAATAGGTTGTATACAAAAATTAACTCTCAGCTTAAAATAACATTCAAAAAGGCACTTCATCCTGTAGGAAGGAGATTCTGGGTTGGGCCAGCTGCTCCAAACCGGGGACAAAGAGGAGAGGCTGTCTCTTAGAGGGAGGACAGTTGAAAGGACATCTGAAAGATACCAAGGTTTTTTTTTTTTTTTCCTTTTTGGTATGTTTTAAGAAAATCGAATCTGGTAAAATGCACGTCCTTTTATGAAATCTATTAAAAGAGTTTTTTTTTTTCTTTAAAATAGTTGCTTCTGTTCTTTAAAAACAAAACAAAACAAAACAGGTAGGCATGGCGACATTCACCCTGTGGCCCAGAGCACGGAGTCTTCTCAGGCTGCTCTCAAGGAGCTGAGGCTGGGAGGGTCCCTTGAGTCAGGGGCTCCGGAGTGCACAGGTGGGGACGGCCGAGGCCCCCAAGACCCCGAGGCTGGGGCTACCTGCTGCAGAGTCTGTGCAGCATGCTGTATACATCGTCCTCCCTGCTCAGGCCCTCGAAGAACGGGATGAGGTCCAGCAGCTCCGTGTCCGTCATGTCATCAAACCAGGACTGCACAGGCACCTGTAAGACAGAGTGTCAGGAGGCAGCAGAACAGGACCCAAGAGTGACACTGTCCCCTTGTCCTTTTGTTTGCTCCCCAGTACCAAGCACAGTTAGCTCAGAGTTAGTGCCAGAGCTGAAGCAGGCTGACACAGGTGTAGGAGACAGCTCAGTGAGCCAGAGGGTTCCCAGTGTGTGTCAGTTTGCCCTCTTTAGCTTTCCTGCTGAAGAAACAATGGCCACTCCTTGCCCGTTTCCAAAGGTCTTTTTATGGCACTGAACTGGCCCACTGCCAGTCACAGCCCTTGATACCTCTCAGAGGTTACCTGCCAGTACAGAGCCCAAGCCAGACACACCTGTCCAGACCATACTGGAGACCAGGCTGGCCTCAAACTCTCAGAGATGCGCCTGCCTCTACCTCCCAAGTGCCGGGATTAAAGGCGTGCGCCACCACCAGGTGCCCATGTACTGCTCTCTTGCAGAGAACCTGAGTTCAGTTCCCAACACCCACTTCAGGCAGCTCACATCCTCCTGCAACACCAGCTCCAGGGGATTTGATGCCGTCTTCTGGCCTCCACAGGTTCCCTACTCATGTGCGTGTTTTCTCTCACACAGGCAACCAGGTGATTAAAAATAAAACTATTAGCCAGGCGTTGGTGGCGCACACCTTTAATTCCAGCACTCGGGAGGCAGATGCAGGCAGATCTCTGTGCGTTTGAGGCCAGCCTGGGCTCCAGAGCGAGGGCCAGGACAAGCTCCAAAGCTACACAGAGAAACCCTGTCTCGAAAAACAAAAACAAACAAACAAACAAACAAAAAAAAAGAAAAGAAAAAAAAGAAAGTTCCTGCAAGACAAATCAGCAAACTTTCTAGGAATAAATGATAGAGAAGAAACATGGGGAGATGTTCAGACCAGAGACCCGTTAAATGAAGCAATGCATTAGATCCTGACCTAATTCAAATCCAAGAGAACTCGTCAAGATGACGAGTGTACATGAACCGTGTGTACAGCAGCTAATATGAGAAATGTCTGTGTGGTGTGTGGAGGGGACCTAGGACAGCAGTGGACATGTCCCTCTCTGCTGGAGCAACTGCCCAGTACATTAGGTGGAATTTGACTGACTTATTAATATGAACCTATTTACTTATTCAAAGGGTCTCCTTATGTAGTCCTGGCTAGCCTGAAACTCTTTATGTGGGCTAAGATGGCCTCAAACTCACAGAGATCATCTGCTTTCGGAGTGCCGGGATCAAAGGCGTGCACCACTATACGTGGCAACAGGAACATATTTAACTGTAAGACAGTCTGACTGCTTTTACATTTTAACCAAATATACTTTTTTCCCCCTTATAATGAGCAGAGCTATAGAATTCTAAACTTAAAAGGGGGATGTAAGGCTGAGTAGTGGTGGTGCACACTTTTAATCCCAGCACTCGGGAGGAAGAGACAGGTGGACTTCTGAGTTTGAGGCCAGCCTGGTCTACAGAACAAGTTCTAGGACAGCCTGGGCTATACAGAGAAACCCTGTCTCAAAAAAACCAAAGACCCCAGAGCTCCCCCTTTGTGCAGGTGTTCAGGAGTGGTTCCCGAGTGGCAGGCCAGAGTCAGACAGCATCCCAAGCTCATACTTTGGGACTACTTACTGCATTCTCCGGATGGAAGATGTAGGAGGCAGGAGAATTGTCCACGATGATCACTTTGCTCAGCTCCCGTCCCAGGCGGCTCAGGTCCTTCACGTAGTTCCCACGATGGAAAACACAGGATTCCCTGAAGAGTCGGGCCCGGAACACGCCCCAGCGGTCCAGGAGGTCGGCCACAGGGTCTGCGTACTGCAATGGAGAGTCCCAGTGAAGGTCAGGCAGCTGGAAGAGCCACCCAGATACACAGTCCCCTTTGAGGGCGGGGGCATGGGGGTTCCTCCTGGGCCACAGTCTCCCGTGTGCTGAGATCACAGGCATGAGTCATGACATCAGGCTCTGACTTTTTGTCTTGTTGTGTTTTATTAGATTTGGAAAGAAAAATCCCAGGTCTGGCAAGCTGTACATTTTGGCAGTTGTCCAGAGGAGACTGGAGAAAATAAGGTTAAAAAAAAAAAAAAAGCCACATGGAGGGAGGCAGCTGAATGGTGGGTAGGGGTGAGGGTGTGGGAGCTTCAGAGAGAAGAAAAGGGCCAAAAGTGTTATGGAAATAGGAAAGAGGAAGGAGGAAGAAAGAGGGAGGGAAAGGCCCACTCTTCTGAGTAGTTCAGAAAGTGGGCAGAATTAAAAAGCTGCAGATCTGTGGCCCTGTAAGAAACTACCTAGGATTAGGTTTGTTTTGGTTCGTATGTGTGTACATGTGTGCACGGACATATGCGAGGTCGCCATCGATGGTCCTTTTCTATTGCTCTCCACCTTATTTTTCTTGAGTCAGGTTCTCTCCCTACACCGGCAGCTCCTGATTCAGCCAGACTGGCTGGCCAGTGAGCTCCAGTGATCCCCTGTCTCTGTCCCCCCAGTGCTGGACCTGTAGGGGCACACTGGCTGCCACACCTGGTTCTGCATGGATTCTAGTGAAGCTTGTGCAACATTTTACCCGCTAAGCCGTCTTCCCAGTTTCTCAGACTTACTGTTTTCCTTTAAAATTGTTACTGCTGTTGTGTATGTACACTCGGAGGTCGGAGGCCAACTCCGACCTCCCACCTTGACGTGAGTGCTCCAGGGATCGAACTTGGATAGCCAGGCTTGCGCAGCAGGTGGCTTGACCCACTGAGCCACCTCATCAGCCTCTTAGACCACTTTTAAGAGGAGGATTGGATAATCGGAAGTATTTCAGGACTGGTATTTTCCGCTCGGCGTCTATTGGAAACCCAGCATTCCCACAGGTCTCTCCCATCGAATCCATCAGAGTTTCCTGCCAGTTCATCTCCCAGCTTCGTTTCTTCAATTCTAATGTATCTTCCTGGACCAGGTCTCCTGGCCTGGGAGGCTCCTATTTCCTGCTGGCCCTCCCCTCCCAGCCCGTTTATTTCCTTGGCAGCTGTCACAGTGGCCACCAGAGGGCACAGGGCACATCTGTCACTGCCCTGCTTCAAAGTCCCCACCGTTCACCTACTGTCTTTGGAGCAAGTACTCACAGCACACAGCACATTCTGTCACTGCCTTGACTCAGCAGCAAGGCCCACGTGAGGCCCACAGCCAGGAATCCCCGGGGTGGCAACCCTTCCAGGGAGGGAGCGAACACCTGAGGCTGACTCACGAAGGCCACACTAGACGGACTGCAGCTGGGTCCGTGGGAAAGTCCTTTCCACTCCAAGGACATCCTGATGGAGGCAGAGCCCAGCAGCAGCTGCATCTCCTACTGATCAAGCAGCTCAGAGAGCTGTTTGGGTGAAATTGGCTAAGGGTTTGCAAGCAGTCTACAAAGGATTGACCTGGATGGAAAAAGATGGTCCAGGGGTGGCAATCATCCTTAAAAACTGCTTTTATTTTGCCTGAATGAGTGTTTTGTTTGCATGTATGTATGTATGTATGTATGTATGTATGTATGTATGTATGTATGTGCACCATATGTGGGCAGTGTCCACAGGGCCTGGGAGAGGGCACTGGATCCCCTGGAACTGGGGCTACAGAGATTGTGAGCTCCCGTGTGGGGGCTGGGCATTGAACCTGGGTCCTCTGCAAGTGCCATCTCTCCATTCCTGTCAATCATTTCTTAGGGAAGTGTCTGGGGGATCCAGGCTTGGAAGATCAGGATGAAGCCTACCGGCACCCGTGGCAGGGCCTCATCTCCCCTTCTGTATCCTAGGTGCCCTAGCACCCACGAGGGGAGATGAATGGAAGAGTATATGACAAAGCTGGAGTCTGGGAGTCAGTGGGCTGAGCCTGCAGGCCCTGGCAGGAGGCAGGGAGAGTGCTGAGCTAAAGTTGAGGGCACATCAGTACAACTCGGCCATCGGGGTTGGAAAGACTATAAGGCTGTACTGGGAACTGGGTTTGGCTCTGCAGGGCGAGGAGGGCTGGAGAAGCAGATGGCGGGCAGAGGGAGCGGCTCAGGAAGAGCAGCCCAAACAGGGCTGCTAAACAGTGTTTAGGCGAACACTGGGGATAATGCCAAGGAAGCGTGTTTTCCATCTCACCAAGGAAAAACAACCCTCGGTCCAGCGTGCTGGTGCAATCCTCGCACTTGCTATTTGGCTGGTTATTACTTCAGGCTCTTTAGCATCCTGGAGCAGAATCACAAGTACCGTTGAAGCTGCACACACAATTAGTCTTGGCACCACTGGGGAAGACTATTTCCTTAAAGCCCTCCTCTGTGTTGTTTTTGTGCAAGAGAATAAAGCCCAGGTCTGGGAGGATCTCTCCTTAGCAGCTCACGCTGAGGCCAGTTGATGAGGCTGGCAGACAGCTATATAGGGGGCCCTTGCCTTGCTCAGCACAGAGAACAGAACCCAGGCAGGAACGGCCCGGATAGAGGAGCAGTGTTGAGGACCTGAGGTCAAAGGCTCACTATGTAGATCAAGGTGGCTATTGTCTGAGGCAGGCCTCCAAGGAGGAGTTCTTCACACAAAGGGTTAACCTGCACAGCACAGAACTCATCTTTGGGGCTACCCAAAGGTTCCAAGGGTGCTCATGGAGACACTGGTGGTGCTACCAAGTGGAATGCATGACTCTGAGAATCACAGCTGTCAGACCTGGGCGGAGGAGCTAGGGCCTGCTCTGTCTGCCCCACGGCACACCATGGTACCCACGAACCCTGTCTGGATGATGTCACCACCACCACCACCACCACCACTTATAACTCTATAGGCTGAACATCAGGGATGCTTGCCCTGTGACTGACTGTCCAGAACAGTGCACAGGAGATGGTGAGGGCTCAATGGATGGCTGCTTAATAGGAGTTGGGCCATTTGCATGGGCCATTTCATTTAATTCACTCCATGGAGCAGATGGAATTAGCCCCAATTAGACAAGAGGAAATGGAGGTGCCAGAAGTAGGGGACTTACCAGAAACCAGGCAGCTCCCCAAGCCAGTCAGAACCTTCATCAGCCCATGTCTGCAAGTGACACTTGATACCTGGCTATTTGTTTCTCCCCAAAACCTGTGGCCACTAAACCCAAGGGCACAGAGACCTCTAACATCTATGCTGCCAGTCGATGGGTGAGGGACTCTCCACCATTCCTGTGTCGTACAGCCATCCTTCTGTAGTCACAATGGACAGGTCTTGTGATTTCGTCTGTGGATAACTGGTTTCAGGTGGCTGCATGCAGCAACTTCATGGAGCATTTGTTCCAAATGCTCCCGTCACCATGGTAACCAGAAGCCTTTCAGCCTGGCAGTGTGCACATGGCCTGCATCCATCCCATCTGGGGTGGGAACCTGTCACCGTAAAAATAGCTTCCTCCACCTTAACAAAAGGATCTTGGCAGCTTGGGGGGTGGTGGAGGGTGGAGGGGTTGGGAGTCTGCCGGCAGGGAGCAGGACGCACCTTGGCCAAACTGGCAGTAAAAAGCACACATTCAAAGAGCTGCCCCATTCTCTGGAGGAACTCGTCCACGTGTGGGCGCTTCAGCACGTATACCTGCAGGGGGAGGAGACAACAGGCCATCAGTCAGTCAGAGCCGCCCTGGGCCGGGGAAGGGCTGCCCCAGGGGGCCCTCCTCCTGTTGCCAGGCCTAGGCATGATTTGCTGAGGTCTGGACTGGAGAGTCGGATGTAGAAAACCCTCACAAAGAGAAAGGGAAGCTAACCATGGTATCAAGGGTCTTACATCAGAGCTAGCAAGTGGAGCACCGCTGTGCCACGTCAGGTGAGGCCACTCATGCATCCCACTGGGTGTCAGTCAGTCCCCGTGTGGACACAGGCCACAGCCTACGTGCTTGTCCTTTTGGGAGTCTAGGACTGGCTGCTGCCTTTTACTCTGAATGTTCCCATCCCCATCCCATAAGGCCTAGGGGTAAAGAGCTTGGAAACTTTCCACTCAACACCACAGGTTACTCTGCTTATGTGGGAACGCAGACGGTACTTTAGAGAGGCAAGGGGTGTCTCTTTCCCACAGTTGGGCCCCGTGCGCCCCGTGCGCCCTTCCGGTCAGGCCAGACAGGACCACAAGGCAGCGTGGCTGCAGCTAACACATAGGCAGGCTCCTGTCTCTGGAGGTGAAATGAATCTGAGGGAACTGGGAGACGAGAGAGAAAGCAAAGCCAGGGAGGAGAAGTGGGAAGAGGGAGGAGCCAAATTAAAACTTGAATACATTTCCCCTGCAGTTAGCTATCTCTTTAAAACTCAGCCACAGCACTGTGCTCAGTACAGCTACCACCAGGCTGAGTGGGATGCTGTGCCCTGCTCACAGCCTTGAGCACACACTTATAGAAATTAGTGAATACAACAACACTCACCGTAGGGGGGAGGGTACATTAAAGGCAATTAATTTTCCTTTCCAGGGGAGGGAGTCACAGAGAGTAACATCTGGTTTTGACCTTGAAGGATGAATAGGAATTCTCATGCTAAGAATCGGAAATCAAACCTCTAAGCTGAGCAAAAGCATGAAAACGGACGCATGTGGTGTTGGGCTAAAGCCCGTGTGCCCAGCCAATCATGGGCATCGAGAGAAGACAGGAAGGCTGTGCAGGGGAGGAAGCAGCTGCGGTGGGGGGGGGGGGGTGGGGGGGGGGGGGGGGGGGGGGGGGGGGGGGGGGAGTTGGGTGGCGGTGAACACCTAGAGCCTCTAAGAGCAGACAACAGGAGAGAGACTTGCAGAGCGGGAGGCACAAGGCTCTGTGGACGAACTTCTCCCATGGAAGCAGCTGCTTGGCAGCCAGAAAACGGTGCTTGGTGGGAAAAGTCCTGGCTGGCTGAAAGGGTGGGACTGTGGCCTGGTTTTGTGGCTGAGGGCGGAGGGAGGGGCCCGAGGAATGGGTAGGAGACTGGGTACCAATAGGACCCTGCTGCGCTGGGGTGCTGGGTTGGGGCCCGAGGACAGAGCTGTGGCTGTAACAGCTGCAGGACCCCTATTGGTGCTGATGCCCGTGACTGGGTGTGGCCTCCGGTCCTGTGTCCCTGGGAGGGGAGCACTGCTTGGACACCAAGCTTGGCTACATGCAAAGGGCTGGAGACTGCGGGGAACTCTGACGTTGGCGCCTTTGGCAGAAAGGAGGGTCCTGGGCCCGGATGCCGGCGTCCAGGCCCGCGTCCCCGTGCAAGTAACCAAGAATAGGCCCCTTGGGACCTGCACAGCCTATCCTGGATTACTTGAACGAGGCCACGGCCTTCGCCAGGGCCTTGGTCCTCTTGCTTTTGCACCTGTAGCTTCCTCCCCTTAGGCGTTTCTTATCTCAGCCCTGGGTCCCCGGGGAGTATCTACTGCCAAAGAGAAGGAGCTGCGCTGCTCGCGGTCACGTGGTGTGGAGATTATCGTTATTTTTTCCTCTCTCCATGCCACTGGGCAGCCCTCCTGCGCCTCATCTCAGGATCTCCGCAACTTGTGCCACAGTACTCAATGCAGAAGTCCGAACTGCTTGTCGGGTGCCGAGTTAATAATCAGCGGGTGCTCTGCGAATGTTAAATGCCCAGGTGCCTGCAGTTTTGGCTTTACGATGGCTTTTAAAAGCACGAGATGTGGAGACAGCGCCTTTCCCAGGTCCCGCTTCCTGCAAAGCTAGGTGGGGTCAGGCAGAGCCGAGTCTAAGGAAAAGAGACCTGGTTTGGGGGTCAGGATTCTCATTTTGATACTTTTCATACATCATCTTGAGCTAACCCTTTCCCGAAATAAGTCTCGTTTTCCCGCCTGGACAAGGAGGTGGCTAGATAGCTGATGTCATAGGCCTGGACTGTTCTAACACTCAAGAGTCAAGGAGCCTTACTGACATCAAGATGATGGCATCCCATGTAGCCCTAAGGGAAATCTGACAATAGCCACCTCTACTTTAACCTTCAAGGCTAATTCTCCTACCATGCTCTTACTGTATTCATAAATGAAGCCATTTCCAGAAGAGCTTGCTGATAACAAAGGAAAAAACAAAAAAAGATTCATGCCAACTGATCTTAACACACCCTTCCCACTTTGCTTTGAGCCACTGGAGAAAACCACACACGACAAGATCAGTCTGGGGCGTTGGCATCAAAGGGACACTTCTTTCCAAGGATGCCCCATAAGTGGGTGACTGGTGGCATTTTCCTATTGCATGCTAAAAGTAGCCCAATCATATGAAGACATTAACCAGATGTTGAGGGGTGGGGAGGGGTGACGCAGTATAGAAACTCCCAAAAGTCAATCACATTTAACATTTATGAACAGAAAAGGTCCCTCGTAAACCTCATAAAACAAGTGTGTGTGAGGTAGAAAGCCATTCACTCTATTTTTGTTTTTTTGAGACAGGGTTCTCTGTATAATCCTGGATAAACTGGAACTCACTCTGTATACCAGGCTGGCCTTGAACTTACAGAGATCCACCTGCCTCTGCCTCCATGCCCAGCTCACTGTTTGTTTCCGGTGGCTGGAACAATTTGCCACTGAGATGGGAATTTAGAAATGACATTCACAGGGAATGTGGTTACCAGAAGAACATGTTCCCCAAACTCCAGGTGGCTTCGATGTCTTACCTGGTGTATGGTTCCATCGATTTCAACCGGAACGATGAAGTCAGCATTGCTAATGGGCTAGAGAGAAAAGAAACTGGGATTAATATGTCTGAAGGGAAAAGAAAATGGAAAATTTTAGCAAGCAAAAAGCTTGCCTGGACCAATGTTTTGATAACTGCAGGAAATAGTTCAGGAGGGTTTTGTGTTGTTTAGCATCCTGGTCCAACCATTTGGTCACTTGCCTGCCTCAACCACAAAGGGTTGTACAGCCTGGCAGAGAATGGGGCTCCTCCGTCTAGCCTGTGGGCCCAGACAGGATGAGGGGAACTGCTGATGGCCACCAGGGGGCAGAGATGAGAGCCTGCTGGCCAGTGTCAGTACTACTGGAAAAGCAGTTTGTCCTTGGACTCACAGTGTGGGCAGCTTGGCAGGGAATGCTCAGAGTACCGACCCATGGGAGGCAGAAAGCCAGATGCTGCAAGTTAGGACCCTGGGCAGACTTTCCCCTCTGGACTTCAGTGTCTGCTCTCTTCAACTGCTATGGTGGTAGAGCTGATGGGTCCCCATGGCTCCATCAGCAGCCTCAGGCCCTGCCTGGTGGCCTGGCCTGGTTTCTTGCTCTGGGATTGGGAGGCAGCCAGCTTCTCAACTGCTCTGTTCTAAGAAACACAAAACCCAGCTCACCCACAACCTCGCAGGCATTTAATGTAACTCTTGGATGGTATTAGACACATTTGAAAAATAAAATATGAATCTAGCAGTCGTCAGATCACAATGACAGTCTTATGTGCAGTTATACACAGAATTCCACAGACTAGAAAAATTAACAAACAGCTCTAAAAGAACCATCAGTCTGCAGATCTTAGGGGCAAGAGAGACTCAGGAAGACAGGGCATGGTGGCGACTGTGTGGAGAGGGTGTGCGGAACCTCTGGTCAGACTGTAAACTGGGCCAGCCTTTGAGTTCATCAATGTACGACACTCTTCCTGAAGAACGTGGACTGTGCTAGACCATCACGCCATCACTGTGCAGTGTGATAGACTGTTACCCCATCACTGTGGAGTGTGCTAGACTGTCAGCCTGTCACTGAGTGCTCAGATGTGGGGGTGCTGCTGAGTTGATCTGCAGGGTAGAAAAGCAAGGGACAGCTGGGTGTTGGTGGCGCACGCCTTTAATCCCAGTACTCGGGAGGCAGAGGCAGGCGGACTCTGTGAGTTCGAGATCAGCCTGCTCTGCAGAGAGTGAGTTCCAGGACAGCCTCCAAAGCTACAGAGAAACCCTGCCTCGAAATGTTCCCCTCCCCCCCCAAAAAAAAGACAAAAAAGAAAAGCAAGGGATGAACTCAAAATTTCATAATTTTACCACTGAAATATCGAGTTATGAAAAACAGAGAAAAATGACTGAAGAAACTGTCAAAGCATTGGATTATGAAATCACACTCCACACGGTGAAGTTAGAAGAGAATCAGCCCCAGCTTACAAGTGTGGTCCTTGAGCTCGTGTGTCACACAGGAGGTTCACAGCACACACCTTCCCACAAGACTCTGAAATGCCCAGAACATTAAAAACCATAATCCGACTTGCAAAAGTAGCCCTGTCCAAGCCCATGAGATGGTGCAGCAAAGACACATGGCTCAGTGCTGTGTAACCCTGATGATAAAAGTTTGATCCCCACAAACCCACAGTGTAAGGAAAGACCTGACCCATAATTGTACTCTGACCTTTACACCCTCCCCCCACACACACCATGGCACACATACAGCCACAGTTGACACAAAAATAAATAAAAAGTTACAGATAATTTTAAAAAGTAGTCAGGTCAGGGAAGAAAAGAGGAAATTCTGTGTACAGCTTGTGGCAGTCGTGCTCTCTGAGCAGGATCCAGAGACAGTGGGGCTGCCAAGGCCCTGCCTTGGAGCCAGGAACCCTGGGTAATCTTGGGCAGTTTGTCCAGAGCTCCTTAGGAGGTGTTTTCTATGCTAAGACAGTAACTGACCCCCGCTCTGAAGGGCTTGACGCCCAGAGCCACTTGCTTCACAGAAGGGGAAATTCTGCAATGCCATTTAGAGCAGAGCTTGGGCACAAGGCCACTGTGGCCCCAGGACCAATCCTGGAGGAGCCCAGCCCTTGGAATGCTGGGTAAAGAGATGGTCCTACAAGCCTCAGCTGCTAGAATGAGGCCCCTTGTCATTGCTAGGCTGTCCACCTTCCAAAGTCTTCAGAGAGCCTCCCGGCCTTGTCCTGTTTGTTTAGTGAGAAGGTACAATGTTGATTCTAGCAGGAAGGTGCTGGGGGCTCTTCCTGCCTGATGGCCTGCCAGGAATGACAAGGGCTCTGGTGAGACACCCATCCCATCACTGGTGGTGCCAGTCGCATCTCTCAGTGAAGCAAGAGGTGTCCCAGGGCAGTGGGAGAATGAGGGTTGTAGTGACAGTGGCCAGGATTGAGCAGCCTCACTGACAGGAATAGTCCACGGAGACCGGAAGCAGGCTCTTAGAACTAACTACCCACCGCTTCTCTCCAAACACCACTCACTTACTCCACACACTGTCAGCATTTGCCTCTTTAAAACAGTAAGGGTGAATTAATTCATTGTCTTAATGATGTAGTCACTGCTGCTCTGGTGTGGGGGTCCTGGCAGTGGACGGAGTGGAGAAAGTGGTCACGATGCCTCTGGCATTCACTTAGACACAGCTGAGCTGCAGCTCATCACCCACTGAGAGGGGCTATGAAGGTAGGCACTCGTGGGCACACAAACCCCAGCACGAACATGAGTAGAATGAATGGCCCAGCGGTTTGGATAAGGCTTCCTGAGAGTTGCACATAAAAAATTAATCTGGGAACATTACCAGGGCAGCAGGGCACCTGACAGTTTTCAACAATACCCCACTCCATAAAATGCATAGTGCTCCAGGTACCTCAAAAACATCACACCCGGGGTACTGACTACCCGTAACACCTAAACCTAAAAACATTTCTATGGGGCTTAAATCCCGAGGAATCCCAAAACCAATGTGTTAATATTCAACTATCATAGCTCATGTTCACCTGGGCTAAAGGGGTAGGTCCAGCCCAAACCCCGAGCTCATGGGATCTCTTCGTGAGAAGTGCAGTCACACGAATGGCCACAGCTTTCGTCCTCTTCACACGGAGGTCATGAAGTCACAAAGACCCCCAGGCGATCCTGAACGTGGAATTTACCTTAAATGAACTGTGCACCAGGGTTTCGTCTAGATCAATGACCACACATTTCTTCCCATAGTCGAGCACCGTCACCTCTGGAAGGAGGGATTTAGCTGGTGGCTGAAGGGAGAAAAGAAATCAATATTATAAACTCAGTGGAAGAGCCTGGGCCTCCCCAGCTACTTCATAGCAGAGATGACATTAATGACGGTGCAAATGAAAGCAAACACCTAAAAGGCCCAGCCAAGCTTATCATGTATGTCACAACAAGGACTCGGCAACAGAGACTCTGCCCCAAGCCTGGCTCAGCATCATCTCAGACACTCTTTGCTATTAGTTGAAGTGATTATACCTCCATGTAAAAGAGATGCTTATCAGTTGTACCAGCAGTAAGCCACCCAGTATTCTTCCTGGCATGCACAGGGTGGCCATTATTTATTATTATTATTATTATTATTATTATTATATTAAAATGGATCACATAAGAATGAGTGCTTACAGCTGGGTGGTGGTGGCGCACGACTTTGATCCCAGCACTCGGGAGGCAGAGGCAGGTGGATCTCTGTGAGTTCGAGACCAGCCTGGTCTAGAAGACCTAGTTCCAGGACAGTCTCCAAAGCCACAGAGAAACCTTGTCTGGGTGTGGGAGGAGGGGAGAATGAGTGTTTACTCTATAACAACTACTCTGACTTCACAGGCTTATTGCCTGGGGACATGTTTTGCCTAAAATTCACTGCCAACACATGAGGAAACTTTGGAGCTATGTTAGACCCTTGATATTTTTATTGATGTGTATGCATGTGTGCCTGCTTGTCTCCATGTGTATGCAGTGCCTGTAGAGGCCAGAAGAGGGCGTCAGGTCCCTGGAACTGCAGTTACAGGCGGAGGTGAGGAACCACCATGTGGGGTGCTGGAAGCTGAATCCAGGTCCTCTGCAGGGGAGACACAAAAGTCTTAATTGCTGAGCTGTCTCTCCAGCCCCATGCCCAGCATTCTTAAACACTTGAAGAAAAGCTGTAGACCCACCAACAAGTTGTCCTTCCAGTATTAAAATTGACACTGTTGTGGTGTGAAACCGATGGCTGGGGCATCTGTACGTCTTATGTCAAGTTAGACTTTAATCCATGTTCCGTGTTAACCACATAAACAACCTGTCCTCAGAGCAGCTGACTCCTATCCTGTGGTGGGGTGGGAAGAAGCTAATATACTGTTCTATGATTTAAGTATTTATTTCTTCGGGCCTTGCCTCCTTCCAGAGATAATGTGAAGTATTTTAATTGACTGTGGCATGTTCAGTGGCTAATGTCAACTAGTTAATTTTTCCCCCTGCAAACTGTTTAATGTTTGATGCAAAACAAAACATAATTAAATATCTAGACTCAGCCACAGGAGAATGAACAGTGGACTTTTTCAAGCAAGACTGGAACCAGAAGCATTTAAGCGACTGGTTCCTTTCGCTTTTGAACATTAGCTAATGAAAGAACATTCTTTTGAAGCTGGGCTGGATGGTGCATACCTATGATCCCAGGAGGGCTTCTCAGGAGGCCGAGGCAGGAGGGTGGACAAGACTTGTCTAGGCTATAGAGTTAAACTTAGGGGCTTGTTTGGCTAACTTAGTGAGAGGGCTGGAGTAGCTCAGTGGTAGAATGCTGGCATGAGTGAGGCAACAGGGTTAGCTCCAGCACTGAAAACGAAATTTAAAATCGAGCTTCAGCCAGCATGTGTGAGCCACAGGGCTGGTTAGCTGAGGAGGTAGGGATGGTGCTCACCGAGGACAGGGGCTGAGCAAGAGGAGGTGGCACATGGGCCAGATGCAGGCTAACTCCAGGGTGTTCTGTGCAGTCACATCTCTTTCTAAATCACGGAGAAGAAAAGCCCAGAAGGCTCTACTTCCCACAGCTCTAAGTAAAACTGGCTCAGTCCTCCGAGGCCTCCCAGCAGCAGCAAGAGAGGTGGGCTGTGTCCTGCCGGCCGACAAGGACTTCGGGGCCTGAGAGGGGACTGTTTCCATCATTATAAACGGCCGAGCCAGCAGGTTATTAAAAAAAAAAAATAACCAAACTCACATGAAGTTTTGTACAAAAACATGTTTCTAAAAAGGCCGGGTTGAACACAACCAAGAAATAGGGAATTCTTTCTTTGGGCCCCAGCAGAAGGTATGCATGTGACCATGGTAGAATTTGTTTTGATTTTATTGCACAATCATGTAAAAAGACAGTCCCTCAGGGAAGAGTGTGAACAGGTTAGACCCTTTTCCTGTCTATCCCCCTCCCCTGGGTAAAGCCGGCTTCCTTCAAGCCCTTCCCTTTGCTTCACACACTACTAAAGGACGCTTATAACTTAAGTCACTTAAAGTGCTAGCCTGGAAAACAAGGCTCTAGCAATTCTACCCCTCGAAGATCAGAAAACATCAAAGATCCGCCAAAAGTGGCCCAGGGATTTTCCAAGCCCAGGACTAAAAACTACCTTCTCAGCATATGCCCCCACACTTTATAAGCATTCTCTGATTAAAAGTAATTAATATCCTGATATCCCTGATGGAATAATGCAAGGGGGGGGGGCAGGTGGGCTGAGCCGCCTGTTAGGCAAGCCACTGATTTTTACAGCAGAGAGGAAGGCCAGGTTGCTGAAGACGCAAGGAGGGAGGGCTCCATCAATTCCCAGCCCTTCACACAGCTTCTCTGGGAACCTCCCCTGGAAAAATGCAAATTCCTCAGTGCCCCGCTGAGACAGCCTGAGTTCTTGGCAATACAAGGACACTGGAAAGCCACCATAGTGCTTTGTGACTTAGCTGGTCTTGAACCATTCACTCAAAGGTCTAACTAAATCTTTGCAGTCATCATAAAGCTCGTGAACACACCAGGAAGGGCATTACAGGGGGCCGGAGGGGTGGCTCAGGGGTTAAGAGCACTGGCTGCTCTCCCAGAGGTCCTGAGTTCAATTCCCAGCACCCACACGGTGGCTCACAACTATGTATAATGAGATCTGGTGCCCTCTTCTGGTGTGCAGGCGTACATGCAGGCAGAACAATAGGTACTAGACAGACATTCAAGGTGCTCATGACTAGTAATAGACTCTTGCAGAGCGGTGGGAGCAACACACTCTCGTGTGTATAAATGTGTTTGTCTGGAAGCTTTCTGAGAGGGGTGGGACAAACATTAATGTTAGTTATGGTAGATCGTGGGAACTTCTGGGAGGATTTTTTTTTCCTCTTTAATTTTCTATCATTTAAAATTTAACTACTGACTTGGATTTTTGTTGAATAAAAAGTTCAAAGTCTAAAACTTTTGCACATGCAAAAAGCAAAACATGTGAATGAGAGAAGAGGGGTGAGGCCCAAAGCAGAGATTGGGGACTCTGTGCCAGCAGTTGCTCTGGGCACTCATGCCTCAGATGGCTCTTCCTCTTTCCTGGAGAAAGCCTGCAGGAGGCCAGGGGACCTGGTCTGGAGGCGCAGTACTGTTAAGGTATCTAGTTGTTTGATGCAGCAGCCCTAGTTTCAGTCACTCTCAGTAATACCCAGAAGCCCCTCTGCTCCAGAAAGAACAGGGTCACTCTATGTGACTCAGGGAACCTTGGGAAGTCAGTACAGGTTTTATCGGGGATGTCAAGACTTAAATTCAGGACTGAATTGAGCCCAGGTGACCTTGCTCTAAGCCTGAACGCTGAGCGTCAGTGGAGATGACAGACATTGTGCCCCCTGGAAGCACTGTTTGCCTTCATGTCATCATTCAAAGATGCAAACTGGGGCTGGGGATGCAGCTCAGGGGTAGAGTACTCGTTTAATATGCACAGGTAATTTCCAGTGGAGGGGAGCGGGGACAAAGATACAAGTTACTCGTGTGGCCTATTTGGAAGCCAGTCCCAAGAGGAGTCACATGACTGACCCAGTCCCAAGAGTCACATGCCTGACACACCGTCTGCTGTAGGTATGGGGCAGAGCCTGTAGTTTACCCATCCGATGCTAAGATAAATTACACAAGGAACCTTCTTGTTCCTATTTACTTCATGCTGGAATTCTGTTTATGGCTCAGCCCAGTTTGGGAGAAAGGGCCAGTTTCCTCGGGGTGGGTGGGGGGTCTGCATGGCCCACAGCTGCTTTCATTTGGCACCTAGCTTTACAGTGGTCACAAATTACCTTAGTGTCCAGTAGTGACACGGAACAGGGCTGGGCAATAGATACTGCTACTTGTACAAGAAGAAAACCTTTGATCAGGAAGCCCCTGATCGAGCCTGCTGGGTGTCACTGGGAAACTCTGGCTCAGATGCTACGTTGCCTGATCAGTCTTTCCCTCAAAGAAGTTCAACCCCTAGGCATGGTCAATGGAGAACTCCAAGCCTTGAGAAAAATAAAATGATTGACCTTTTTGGGCCAGTTGCGAATGGCACGTTGTACCGAAAGCCTTCTTGGGCAAACCCCAACTCATAAACCCCACTCTATCCAATGCAGGACAGCTGTACTTATTGGAGGCTCCAGGAAATACGTCAAAGTACACAAACAGATTGCAATCCCATAATTGGAATCAGATAATCCTAAAAGACCAATTCATAGACTGTTTTAGAAACTGAGTCTGTCCCCGAGGACTCAGGGCTGTGCCTAGCCGTAAAGTTCCTTAGGGAAGTTGTTTGCTGCATGATTTGAGGGTACACAGTGCTGCTGGCTGAGCAAGGGGGACACACAGGGGAGCAGTGGAGGCCTGGGGACACAGGGACAGCTTAGCTCTGGAATTCAAGGGTTTAAAAGGGAAAGTGACGTGCTAGCTGAGGCAGAAGAGCAGAGCAGCTGGCCTGAGGGGCCTGAGGGGGTGGGCAGGGACCTGAGAAATCAAGGAGTCTGCCAGAAGTTTCCTCTCCACCCAGAGCTGCAGCCAAGCAGCCCGGCAGCCAGCAGGTTCAGTGAGGCTGACTGTGCTGGGAAGAAGCAAGTGTGGGCGATGTCATTGCTCTCCTGGTCAGAAGAGCTGGGCCCCTTCGGTACGGTGGGTCGGGGTGGCCTCCAGGCCACC